TCCCAGAGCTCCTACCCCCCACCAGGGGGCCACCCTTTAACTTAGGTCCCTTTCCATTCATTAGAACAAGATGGAGTGTGTGTGCGCGGAGAGAGAAGACCCAGCCATGACCCCATCTATCCTTCGCTCTGTCCTGCTGTGGTAGGCAGAAGAGCAGCTCCTCAAAGGAGCCCCTCAAAGGCCCACGTCCTAATCCCTGGAACCTGCAAAAGTGTTCTGTTACAATGGGCAAAGGGGGATTAAGGTCGTAAATGGAACTGAGGTTGCTAATACCTGACTTAATTTTTTTTAAAGAGTTTATTTGTAGAGAGAAGAGAGAAGGGACATAGAAAGAGAGGGAGAGAAACATCAATGTGTGGTTGCCTCTTGTGCACCCCCAACTGGGGACCCGGCCCACAACCCAGGTATGTGCCCTGACTGGGAATTGAACTGGCAGCCCTTCAGCTCACAGGCCAGAGTTCAATCCACTGAGCCACAGCAGCCAAGGCGCTAACACCTGACTTTAAAATAGGGAGGCTATCTTGAATGAACTGAGTGGGCTCAATGTAATCACAAGGCTGGAAGAAGGAGGCCAGAGAGGGGAGAACCTGAGAGGTGGCAGCATGAGACGGACTCAGCCTGACATTGTTGGCTTTGAAGATGCAGGAAGGGGTCATGAGCCAAGGAAAGTCAGTGGCCTCCAGAAGCTGGGAAAGGCAAGGAAATCGAGTCTTCTCTAGAGGTTCCAGAAAGAAGTGCAACCCTGCCGACACCCTGATGTTGGCCCGGTGAGACCCATGCTGGACTTCCACAGAGCTGTAAAGTGATAAATTCGTGCTGTTTTAAGCCACTAAATCGATGGTAATTTGTTACAGCAGCCATAGGAAATAAACACACCAGGCCACCCGGAGGAGCTGTGTGTCGTCGACATCCAGCTTGCTGCCAGTATCAACCCCCAGACCTGTGAGTGCGGACACCAGACGTGCGAGATAATGCTAGGCACTCCAGCCCCCGAGTTTCCCAGCTGAGGCCCCAGAGAGAAGCTGTACCCATCTTACTCCGCCCAAATTTCTGACTCACAAAATATATACGTATAATAAAATAATTGTTTTTATGCCACTAAGCTTTGGGGTGGTTTGTTTGGCAGTATAGTAACTGGAACAGCCATCTCTTCAGGCCTTGAACTTGAACCAGATGGAACTGGGGAAAACCGCACACGCTGCTGAACCCAGAGGTCCCATCCCATCACTAGTATTATTTTTAACAGAACCCTGAGCCGAACAGAAGGGAACACTGCTGAAGTTGAAACTGAACTGGTATATGTTTTCAAGCTGTTGAACTAGAGTGTTCAAATATTCCTGGGATGGAGATCATCACTTAGAGAAATCTACCTTCTCTCCTCCGCTCTGTGTATTTTGATCTGCCTAAGGTCACGCGTGCACAGCAGAGCTGAGAGATTCTTAATCTTTATAAACAGCCAGCTATGACCCTCTCTACCCTCCCTACCTTCCCTTACTGAATGAAGGAAGGACAGAGATGTCCTGTGAGATGTGAATTTCCCACCATCCAAGGACAGGGAGTCCCAGCCTGAACCTGATTCCTTGGGGGTACCCGAGTGGAGGCTTTGTGTCCCTGGCTGAGAAATTAGAACTTTCCATCAAGGCCAGTGGTCCTCAGCATTCCAGCAGCCTGGCTGGGGTGTGTGGGACCCAGGTGTCCTTCATCTCATCTGCATCAGGCCGGCACAGTTTGTGGCACTCCCCCACAGTGGGAGGGGTGGGGGGGACTGTGAGGAAACTTGGGGCTCCTGGGAGACATTCATCTTTCCCGAGCTTTATCATTTTTTCCATAACACGACTCTCCCTTCAAGGTGGAAAGTCCCAGCTGCTGGCTGAGGATACTCTCAAAGTGCTTTTGTGCTCCACCCCGCCCCCAGCGCAGGCTGCAGGCTGCTGGGCAAAGGACACCTCCCTCTTTGTACCAGCGCCATAGAGACAAGCCCTTAATACCATGGGATTAGAATTCTCTGTTTCGAAGCCCGGCTTTGCTACTCCCTAACTGTGCAATCCTGGCAGGGTACTGAACCTCTCTGTGCTCTTTCTCCATCTGAAAATTGGCATGGTGATAACATGGACCAGTTCTGAGGATTTAATATCTGAAAAGCGCTTAGCACAGCAACTGACACATTGATGTAACTGCTGTTATTATTACATGACCGAGGGCAATTCATCTCCTTTCTCTGGGCCTCAGTTTCCCCGATTGTACAATGAAGATAGTAGTTTCTACATGATCTAAGAGTAAACACTGATTACCCTTTCCTGCCGTGTGGTCTTGGACAAATTTCGTGGGTTCTCTTGGCCTTCATCTGCTCACCTGTTCAGTGGTACCTGTTCAGCCGCTGGCTGTGGCAACGATGAGATGAGAATGTATACCAAGCGTGTGGCAGGGGGCCTAGCACACAGAATGCGCTAAAACAAAGTTAGCTTTTTCTTTTTCCAGTTTGTTTTTATGGATGAGAAAGAACTTTCTAAACTATAATTGGCTGTGTCCCTGGGAGGAATATTGTGGTTTTCTCACATGCTTTCCCAGCCATGCCTTATCCACAGACTCACAGAACCAGAGAGGTCAGGAGTGGAAGGGCCTTGTATGGACTGGTGAGTCCGTCCATTCAACAACTGTTTACTGGTCCCCTGTTATGAGCCAGGCACCGCTGTAGGTGCTCGGGAGAGGGCAGCGAGGAGCGCCCTGCCCTCGGGGAGCTTTCCTTGGCGGGGGGGTGGGTAGACATTGACCATGAGCACAGGAATAGATAACAGAAGCTCATATTCAACCCCTTTATTTTACAGATGGGGAAACTGAGGCCCAAGAGGGAAGGGCACTTTCCTAAAGTCCTCCAGTGTCATAGCAGGGCTAAAGGCTTCATTGTAGTCTAAGAATATTCAACCCTTAACAAAGCCCGGTTTCCCCCAAGGTCTCACTGTGTGATATCAGGAACAAACACATACTGAGTCTTCCTAGATGCAGGAACTGTTTTAAGTACTTTACACACTGCAAGTCGTTTAATCCTCAGGGAGAGGATTGTTCATGAATCCTATTTTATACATGGGGAAACTAAGGCACACAGCGGTGGAGGGGAGCAGGGCGTGAACGCAGACGCCCTGGACCTCAGCCATGGTGCTGTCCTGCTGTGCTGGCTGCATACTCTCCCCCCTACCCTGATCTGCACTGTTTCTTTCTCCCCTCCCTTCTCCCCCCCCACCCCCAATCCTTGTCACGAGGATTTCTTTCACACCCCGAGGAACCTCAGAGAAGCCCTCTGCCTCTCTGGCCCTCAGTTTCCCCATCTGTGAATTGAATGGGTTGGACTGGATTGTCTTCAGGGCCCTCCGCAACCACCCTGCTTTAGTCCCTTTTAAGTTTGCAATTATTGTATGTATTTACTTTTTTCCAGCCTGCTTCCCCAGACTGTGAGCTCCAGGGGCAGCATCCTGCTCCATCTATTCACTGCTTTATCCCCGGAGCCTGGAACTGTGCCCTGCACTTAGTAGGCTCTTGATAAATATTTGTGGATGGAGAAAGAAATGACACAGTAGCCCTCAGTTTTCTCAGCAACAGCTCCTGGGCTCTCTCCCTGGGCTCTCTTCCTTTCTCAGCCTGGGGGGCCCCTCCCTCCCTCCCTCCTCCCCTCCCTCCCTCTCACCTCCCAGGGCCGACTCCGGCCCTCCATCCGGCCTGCATTTTTCCGGGTTTGATATCATTTTTTCCACTCTCCCGGCTGCTGCAGGCTGCCGCTGCCAACTTTCCACAACTGGAGCCCTTCCCCCACGACCACAGGCCGAGGACAGCTTGGGGTGGGGGAACCCTCCCCCTCTTCCTTTCGCCAGGGGAGAGTTGGGTTGGGGAGATAAGTGCCATCAGTGCCTGGCTGGCAAGATCTGGGGGGTCACAGCTGGAGGCTGTGACTTGCCTGCCTGTGCTCTACCCTTCCTGGCAGCAGGGACAGGGCCCCGTGGAAGGCTCCGGCATCTGGAAGGGCGGCTGTTTGGGGGCAGTGTGTCAGGCATCAGGGACACGACGAGCCAAACTGCTTGCATCTTGTTCTCCTCTCAAATTAGTGACACCCCTTCACCTTAGGCTGGAAACTCCTGACCTGACCTCAAGGCCTCCTCCCCAGCCAGCCTGGATGCCTTACTGCCTCCTACTTCCTGCACGGACAGAGGGGGGCGCGCCCCGGGGTCTAGTCCTCACTGGCTGGGTGGCTCTGGGGTGTTCATTCCCCTCCTGGACTTCAGTTTCTACATTCAGAAAAATGAATGAGTTAGACTAAATTGGGGGTCCATCCTGGGGAAAAGTGGATTGAATTTCTTGAAGGCTACCCTCCTTCTTTAAGTTGTGTGCAAAATTGTGCTTGAAAGTCCATTTCCCTGGGGACCCTGTAGCTCTTCGTCACACTCTCCAAGAGACTGGATAAGTTGGGTGCACCCTCGGGTCTGACAAGCCTGGACTGGAAAACCCCGGCAGCCTCCGTCACAGCAGCGCGTGGTCTCCTGCAGCCGCCGTTGCCGCCCTGTGCCCCAGCTTTCTAATTAGCAAACAGGGGCTGTGAAGATTAATTAATAGTTGCCGCAGCTTAGTACACAGTCAGCTCCCAACACCTCCCAGCTATTTTACTGTCGGGATGAGCGCTAACATTCTTTCCAGATAACATTTTATGAATCTATCATCCAAAAAATGGGCCAACGAGAAAATAAGGGGTCGCTACACTTCACTGTGGTTGTGCCCCACCGGGCCGCCCTCAAACCCGGAGCAGGGCGCCTGCCCAGTGGCTGGGAGAAGGCCTGAACGCGCGGTTGTTCCCAGGATTTCACCGACTGACCCTGACGCAGGGCAGGCGGCTAACCCAGTCTGTAGCCAGTGGGTGGGAGAGGAGGGGGTGGAGCCGCCTGTCTGAACCCAAAAGGAGCAGTCTAGACATTGGGACGTGACATTCTTCTGGTCTGCTTTATTGGGGGGGGGGGGGGTTGAGGCGGGGCGGGGGCGGGAATGTTTCTGAGGGTTGGCCAGAGCCCAGGGGTAAGGAAAGGTTTTACAAAAAGGTATGCATGGTGTAAAAAAACCTACTCTCTGTCCAGCTTGGGCTTCGGCCCCATAGTCTGTACATCGCTTCCAAGGGCCGAGGGGTCCCCGAAGCTGTGGCTCCGGGAGATGCTCTGGCCCTCCGGGCGGCGGGTAGGTAAGGCCCACGATGCGCACCCCGGGTCACCGTGCCTTTGACCCTCGGTGGCGTCGGCGGCGCTCGTGGTGCACCCCAGTGTCCCACCGCCTCTGGGAGGGAGGGCGGCCTCAGAGCACGGCCAGGTTGTGGCAGGACTTGGAGCGGGCCTTGAGCGCCCGGCGGCGGGCGCTGCGGGCTGTCAGGCGTGCCAGGAAGCGACGAGCTCGCTGACCGAAGCTGGCCCGCCGTCGGGGCGCGGGCGATTCGCGGGCGCTGCCGTCCCCGCGGCGCAGGCGCAGCTGGCGCACCACGCCCTCGAAGAGTTCGGCCACGTTGTGCTGCAGCGTGGCTGAGGTCTCGATGAACTTGCAGTCGAACACCACCGCGCAGGCGCGTCCCTCTGAAGTGGCGGGTGGTGGGGGTCAGGTGGGCGGGGTGGAGGAGGAGATAAAGGTAGGAAGGGGCACGTTCAGTCTCAACTGGAAGCACCTTTTCCTTTCTCAATACATTGTGCTGGGTGCCAGGGGACTCAGAGACAAACCAGACCTGGCTTTGAGGAATGAGTTCACGGGTTGGGGGCCGATACTGGTGCAGGAAGACAGGGAAGCTGGGACTAGGCAGGGACGGGTCTTGAATGCCAGGTAAGGGGTCTAATGTGTGCATCAGAGTGATCTGGGGAGAGATTCTGATTTGGTAGGTTCGGGATGTGGTCCTGGAACCTGCAATTTAACACAATCTCCTGGGATTACGCTGCGGAATTTTGGGATGCCTGGTCATGTGGTCCCCTATCCCCAGGATGCCAGGGGGCTGGGACGCAGCGACTCAGGTTCTAGTCCTCAGTGGCTGGTGAGCCTGTGGAACTGCTTCCCCTTGTTGGGTCTCTGATTCCATAATTTTTGGATTGTTCCTTGTAAGTACGGCCATGTTAAGATCTTTTTGGGTCCCACTTGATATGTCAAATATACTAAAATATTCCCCATCCCACTTTAAATACAATTTATATATACTAACTTTAAATATTTTGGTTTGCAGTTGCTAGATGGCACCATATCATGTTTTGTAGATAATTCAAGCTTCCTGAAGGTATAAATTTCTCAGTATACGTTGGTGCCAATAATTTCTCAGATGGCCATAGAAAAAAGAAACCTCACCCTTTGTGACAGCATGGATGGACCTGGAGAGCACTGTGCTAAGTGAGATAAGCCAGCCAGAGAAAGACAAATAGCATATGACCTCACTTATATGTGGAATCTAATGAACAACATAAATTGATGAACAAAATTGAAACATGCATGGGCACACGGAACAGACTGACAGCCGTCAGAGGGGAGGAGGATTGAGGAACTGATGAAAGAGAGTGAAAGGATTAAGAAAAAAAAATGGTACATTTACACAATGGAATTCTATGCAGCAGAAAGAAAGAAGGAGTCCTACCCTTTGCAACAGCATGGATGGAGCTGGAAAACATTATGCTAAGAGAAACAAGCCAGGCAGTGAAAGACAAATACCATATGATCTCACCTTTAACAGGAACCTAAACAACAAAATAAAGAAACAAGCAAAATATAACCAAAGACACTGAAATAGGGGACAGACTGACAGTGACCACAGGGGAGAGAAGAGGGAATTTCAGGGGGGAATGGGTAGGGTTTACAGGAACAAATTTGGAGGACACATGGACAAAAACTAGGGGTGGAGGGTAATGGGGGGGAAAAGGGGAGGGTTGGGTGGGTGGGCTGGAATGGGAGTGAGAGAAAACTGTACTTGAACAATGATTAAAATAAAATAAAAAAAATATGTATGTAACACAAAGACACAGACAACAGTGTGCTGACAGCCAGAGGGAAAGGGGCTGGGGTAGGTGGCGGTGGGCACAGGTGGGGAGATGGGGATGGAAAGAAACTTTGCCTGGGGTGATGGGCACCAGATGCCGTGTGCAGACAGATGTTTTATTGAGTTGTACACTTGAAACCTACATGGTTTGGGGAATGAATGTCAGCCCAATAAATTCAGTAAGAAAAGACAGGCCTTGAGGACTAGGCCTATCCGGCCCGTTAGATACAGTGTCTCTGACTAAGGGTATGGAGGAGCCAAAGAGGAGTTTTTAAGCAAAGAAGTGACAAGGTCAGGTGTGGTTCTGGGACACTCTGGCAGCTGTTGAGGAGAATGCATGAGGGGGGCATAGACGTATTGCAGGGCTGGCCCAGGCTAAAGTGGAGACAGCGGGATGGGGCAGCGGCCTGTGGACGGAGGAAAGAGAATGTGGCCTTACAGGATTTCGGGACTGGTTTGGAGAGAGAGGGAGGAGGCAGGAATGGCTCCCAGCTTTCCCCGCGCAGGCCAGCAAGGCAGGATGGGGGCGGGGCGGGGCAGGCAGGCCTGAGATGAAGAGCACTGTGGGAGCAGCAGTGACCACGGGCCAGAGAGGAACGTGGAGAAGGGGGGCGCACTGGAGAGCTCACCTTCCACGGAGACTTCCCTGCAGCGTGCCAGGTCCGCCTTGTTGCCCACCAGGATGATGGGCACATGGTCCGCCTGATGTGTGCGCCGCAGCTGAATGCGGAGCTCGGAGGCGCTCTCGAAGCTGCCTCTGTCTGCGATGGAGTACACGATGACGTAGGCGCTGCCCGCCTGCAGGCATGGCTCCTGGCTCCAGCTTCGGTCCTGTGCGGGAGGCACCCCAGGCCCATCCTCAGAGGACACCCAGGCCCTGGTTGAGAAAGGGGCTGGGGTGGTCTCGGATGGGGCTGGCGTCTATACTTGGGACAGGTTTGGAGGACAAATTCTGCCATCATTCCCTGTTTTCCTCGAAAAGCAGTGATCCTCTCTGAGCCTGTTTCTCCGCTTGAAAAACAGGCTCATTGCCTCACCACATTCTCTCACTCATTGATTCCTTCTGTTGTACTGGAGACAAAATTATATATATATGTACTGCAGACATAATTATATATACACGTGTGTGTGTGTGTGTGTGTGTGGTTCTGCTTCCCGCTAAGGAAGGTTTGCTGTTCAGCTGTTCTGGCTTTGCCTGCTTAACAGGTTCAGTCATATTAGACAGTTCTTTTGGTCTTCTGCAGTCTTCTCAAAAGAGAAAAAAGGAAGGCAGAAAAGTGAGGACAGAGGCTGACTTCAAGGGGAGGCATGTTTCAGGATGGTTTTAAAGAGAGAGATAAAGGAGCAGCTGTGGGGAGCAAGGGAAGGGGGTGGGGGCGGCTCGGGCCGTCTTAGAACGTGGACCCCCTGCACACTGTTTGACCAAGGAAAGGAAAGCACTGGAGTGATTCTGATAATCCAGTAAGATGGTGATTTGTTGTCAGGGATGGCACTCTGAGCCTGGACCACCTGGGTGACAACCTTCTAAGTGTTTAACGAGGCGCAGTTCTCGCCCTCTAAAAGCTCCTGGTCTGGAAGGGAGGCTGTGGAAACGGAGAGTTACAATGCAGCGAGATGAGCACCCACATGCAAGCGTCCGGAGAAGCCATGGGGGTGAGGGAGGGGGCCAGAAGAACTCAACCTGGCAGAGTGTGGGCGGCTTCACGGCAGACCTGTGGGTGGGTTTTGAAAGGATGAGCAGGTGGAAAAGGAGAGAAAGGAGTGGGCCAGGAGTGGGAAATACTGACTGGGGTGGGAGAATTGTTTGTGAGGGGAAAAGAAGCCAGAAATGTTATCTGATAAGCAAAGAATATAGATGAATAGGAAAGCATCAGATCCATGGTCAACATCATTGTCAATGGGGGCGCGTTTTCAACAGTCATATTGATCCTTCCTCAGGCCAAATAACTGTGGGCTGAGTCAGACAGTTGTAGGTACCCATTCTGGGTTCTCAACCTTGACTATGGACAGATTCCTCCCTGTCGGCCTCAGTTTCCTCAGCTGTAGAATGAGAGGGCAGGTCTTGAGCATACATTTGTTCATTGCACAAATATTTATGGAGGGTTTGCTATGGTTAGGATCACAAAAGCTGGTTGGTGCATGATTGGTGGGCAAGAGTCTCTTGGGGGTATGATTAAAAATATGGATTCCAGGATTCCACTTATACAGTTTCTTATTCATTAGGTGTCAGGTGAGTCCTGAGAATTTGATTTTTAATACTGTCTCTAGGTGACCTGTTGGTCAGCCAAGCTAAGCAAAGGTCCACCCAGTTTGTCCAGATGCTGCTTCTCTGACACCTAACCATCTAGGCTAAGGATGGAAGGGATGGAAGCTCATTCCAACAGGCTGCTACCGAATGGGCCCTTTTGGGGAACTGCCTTCACAGTCATTGACCATGGAAACTGGCATAGTTTCCTCATTTTACTTGTAGGAAAGACAAGGGCCAGAGAAGAGAAAATTTTCTCAAGGCCACACAGCCAGATGAGCACAGAATTCCAGCTCCTGCCTTCTACTCTCCCTAATGGGACTTGCAGGCTGATCATTCTTCTTAATTCACTGGACTCTTCCCCACAGGATTCTCAACTGTATCCAAAAAGTAGCCCTTCCCTTACCAGCCTGTGAGCTCCATGGGGTCAGAAAACATGGCTGCCTTATCCACTTCCGGGTCTCCAGTGTCTTGGCCCACGATATTTTCCCGGCAAGTGTTTCTTAATGAACAAATGGGTGAAGGAGTGGAACCTCAGCTGGAGGTTCAGAAGGTGATGCTCCCAGGGAGGGCGAAGGGGTAATCCTAGTACCTGAAAGTACAGGCTCTGGGGTCTTATAGATCTGGGTTTGAATCTCATTTGCTGAGAACTTTGAACACATTACTTCACCTCTCTGAGCTTTGATTTCATAGAACAGGAATCAAGAGGAACATTCAGTGTATAGTTTTTTTCTTGACTGAATGTCATAATATATGTCCAGCGCTTAGCACAGGGGCTGGCACTTAGGAAGAGGGTGTCCATAAATGTCAGCTGCTGCTGAGAGAATCATCATCACCAATGTTATGCTCATTTGGACCTGGGGCTCCTTCCATGCTTGTTTAAAAGACTTGGCTACTCAGCTCCTTCATTGCTCAACTGTGGGTCTGTCACTGGAGCTGTCAGCCACCCAACACCACCCCCTAATTCCCCCTGTGGCCAGGACCCCCCTGCGTGTTAGGGAGGACCTACTCCTAGAGAGATGGATCTCAGGTGATTTTTAGATCCTTCTCTTAGTTGTATTTCTTCAAAGTTCTCTATGAGCATGTATTACTTGTATAGCAAGGAAAACAAAGAAAACTCAATTAAGATGAGAAAAACACAGTAGGGACACGTCCCTGACTGCTGCTCTCTTCCTGCTCTGGAGGGGGCCAGGGAAGGACGCCCTTCGGTTTCCTCTTTCACCAGCTACCAAGTTTCAATGAATAAGAATTATCATTATTTATGATTCTGCACCCATGTTCAGCATTTTTTTCATGCTCCAAACTGTGCTCAACTCTGTGAAATTGCATAGGAACTTAAAAAAAACAAACACCACAGTTGGTAAGGGAGGCAGGAATGATCAACCCATTTATCAGATGAGAAAACTGAAGTTCAGCATGGGTAAGTCAACTGCACAAAGCCACACAACTGGTAAGAAAAGGAAAGGGGGGCTCACCCTCAGGCATTCTGATGATAAATTCAGTGTCCCTTCCTCTGCACATCGTGGGTGGGCGGAGTGGGATGCGGATGCTAATAGGAGGGGAGGCTTGCAAGGAAAGATGCACACCCTGCAATGGCTGTGGAGAGGGCACCAGCGGGTGAGAAAAGGGGGTGAGGGCCGTGAAGTTCTGTCTCTGGCTGGAAAGGCTGCATAGGACTACGGGTGTGGTGGGTGCTCAGAATGGCGCCTGGCTTCTCGCTGCTCTGCAGTGTCCTAGAAAGGGACAGGAACCTGCTACTAGACTCAGCACCCATCCCCCCAGACTCTGCTTGCTGTGCCATACCAGTCTCTCAGCCTCCCAGGTGTCCATGACCACCAGCGTGGTGTCTTCTCCATCCACTGTGAGGGTCCTCTCATACACATCTTCTGCAAGGGAAGGAGAGCTGGGTCTCAGGGAGGAGGGGCAGGCCTGGGGAGGGTGTGGGCTTCCCCAGGCTCTCCTTACAGCCACTGTGTCCCTCCACTCCTGCTTGAAGTGTTCACCCTGCCTGTGTGACGTCTGTCTCTCCTGACAGGTCAAGAAGCTCCATGAGGAGCCCATGTGTCCCGAGCTGCCAGCTTCGTATGTGGCACACAGCAGCTACTGAGGAAGCTTTTGTTTTTTTTGGCTGATTGAATGAATGAGTATGAAGTGATGTGGTTAAAGCTGGGCTGGGAAGTCTCCAGTCCTGTTCTGTGCCTGGCTTACTTCGGGCAGGTCAGTTACGTTCTCTGGGCCTCAGCCTCCCCATTCGTCACACCTTCTGCATGGGTTCTCACTCTTAGAGGGGCCAGGCTTGGTGAAAGGGCCCAGTGAACGTCCCCATGTGTCCCCACTTCTCTCTGCTTTTAACCAGCTCCCGTCCCATTCACCCTGTGTCTTCTCAGCTGGTTCTGCAAAAACCCATCTTCATTTCCTTTGTCCGGTCCCCATTCCCCATCATCCTAGAGCCCCCCCCACCACCCTCTCAGCTCACTGTCTCTTGGGAATAAAGGGACCCAGGGCCTAGAACTCGGGAGTCTGAGAGTCTCCATTTCAGGCAGGATCTTAGTTTTGCTGCAGGTCGTGGTGGCCATGGCCGGTTGTCTGTGGAGCTGGGATGATTCAAGGGGCTGGGGCAGAGCTGGGGCCAGGGGTTTCTGAGCTAGGTGGAAGTCCACCCCGTCTTTACACTTGACACTGAATCCCATACTTCTCACCCATGGAAAACTGGCAAAACTCTCACTATTCCAGGAATTCGCCTCCCACAGACCACGGTGTAGGCGGTGCCCTGCCCAGCTCTAGGGGGTATATTCACTGCACAGTCTGTGAGAATGATGCCCCTCTGGGTTGGGGAGCGCAGTGAGTTGCACATCTGATCTGGACAGCCTCGTGCCCCTGATGATACGGCTTCCATTCCGGCCACATTCCAGCCCAGCCCACAGGGCCCCTACCTCCCAGCGGTTCCTGGAGCTCCCGTTCTTGCTTCCCTGCAAAGAGGCTGGCCAGGCTGGTCTTCCCTACGCCAGGATCCCCGAGCAGCACCACGCGGTAGAGGGCCTCCCAGGAGCCTTCAGAGTCGCTGGAGTCAGAGGACCACCCGTCGGGGGCAGGTGAAGGCTGCCGGGTGGGCGGGTTGAGCGAGGCTGACTGGCCCAGCCGTGGATGCTGGGCTTGCGTGGCGGTGGAAGGCGCTGCGCTCAGGCCAGGCTGGTGGCCCCGGGGGGACAGGGGCAGTGGGGTGCTGGCTCGCCGACGCAGGGGGGCCTTTGCTTCTTGCTGGGTGTTTAGTGTCATCCTTGGGTGGGTGGGGACTTGGCTTCTTCCTTCTTCCCTTCTTTCTGTGAGTAAGAAAGGGGATGGGTGGTGAGCCAGGTGCTTTGAGCCCTTTCTTCCGCAGGGTCCGGGTGAGTTGCTGAGATAGCTTCCTCCAGAGCTCCTCTCGTTCAAACGGGAGGAGGAGGCGTCTCAGGTCCCTGGGGGTGAGGGCTTTCTGGCTTCAGGCCCAGGGTCTGCCCCGGCAGGGCTGGGGGTGGGGTGGGGGGGGTGTGGGTAAGCCGTGAACACACACGTGCCTGCACACCAGAGTCTGGTTCCTGTGCCTTGCGGATGACTCACTCCCCCAGGACACACAGACAGACGGAGGGGCAGCAGCGAGGTGGGCTGTCCACACAAGCGCGCACGCACTCGTGTACCAGACCTGCCCCTCCCGTTCACAACCCAAACCCACGTTCTGAAATGCATCCGATGTACCGCGTCCTCCCCTCCCCACCATCGGCGGGCTGGGGGATACGGAGTAGGGTTAAAAGTCCCTGGGGGTCACTTCTCCAGAGGGCTGGGGGAAAGGCAGGAATGCGTGGGTTGGAACCCCGAAGGGCACGGGTCTGGGGGCTCCCTCCGCGGTAACCTGAGCACCGTGGTGCCATGGGAACGGCGTGTCCGGCCCGCCCCCTACGTGAAAAATTCAGCAGCGGCTGGCACTGCCTCCCGCGGCTGTTGGGGGGCGGGGGGCGGGCTTTGAGGCAGCCGGGCCAGGTTTGGTGACCGCACAGGGTCCTGGCAAGGGGCGGGGAGGGCACCCACGGGGGCTGGGGGCGCATGTACGGTTCCCGGAGTCAGAGTCCGAACTCGCCCAGCCCGGGGTCTCGGTCGTGAGACCCCGGATCCGGGCGTGTTCCCTGTCCGGAGCTACCAAGACTTCCGGAGACCCAGGTGAAGGGCTCTAGTCCCTGGGATGCTAGTTCGAGGACCCCCTCGCCCCTGACTGCGTCGCAGACCGCCTCCCTCCACCATGCAGGCGCCCGGCAAACTCCGCTCCAACTAGACTAAGTTGGCGGCGGGCTGCGCGGGCCGTTACCTCGGCGTGGAGAGGGGTCCAGCGTCCCCGGCCCGCAGCTGCCGGGTGCTCCAGGCTGTACCACCGCCTCGGCGCGCACCCCCTCTGGCCGGTCCCGCCCCGCCGCCCCAGCCGGGGAGGAGCCGCAACCCCGCCCCGTCCAGCCCCGCCCCAGCAGGGCAGCCCCGGGGTTCCCGCCCCAAGGCCTTGGCTGCTGAAAAACTTCACGCCGGGGTCAGCTGACCTGCCTCCTCGCGTCCTTTGTCTAGAGTGGGGGCCAGAGGGAGGAAGAAGGGGGGCTCAGAATTCCGGGGTCTGGGTCGCCTGTGCACCCACGTCTGTCCACTCCAGCACCGGGGCGCACCAACAACCTTGGTCCTTTACAGGAACTGCTCGGGGAGCTCGTCGAATGTTCAGACTCCCAGGACCCACCCTCCGAGAGAGGCGGATTCCGCAGTCCTGGGAGAGGAAGGGTCCGGGGATCTGCGTTTTAAACAAGTGCCTAAGCGATCCTGATGCAGATTTGGTGGAGGCCACTTCGAGAAACTCTGCTCTGAATGGATGGAGAATTATTGGTCGGCGCGGGGGTGGGGGGGGCGATGGCTTGAGGGGAGGAGGGCAGTCCAGGAAGTCAGCACTGAAGTGTTCTGAATATCTTATTTTAGCATCATTCAGTCATTCACCAAATTCTAGGTTAAGCACCCATTTACGCAGCCAGGGCTGTCCACGCTTTGGTTGACATGTACTGAGGCTTGTGCTGCGCCTGGCGACGTCTGCGCACTTTGCCTGGGTTAGCAGCTCGTTTAGCCCTGACGCCGCGCGGAAGATGAACTGAGGCTTACCTGGGCCTGGGGCTCACGGCCTCTGCCTCCCAGCCTGCCACTGTCCCTTTCTATCACATCCCGTGTTTGTTTGTTTTTTATTCTTTTACCTTCCTGGGCACGTAAAGAATGAAAGAGACCCTGTGATCTTGGTTATAGAAGAGAAGTTGGCTTCAGGGAACTGCTGAGTTCAGCGGTCCACGGGGCCAGGATCGGGGCTCTTGAGGAGGCTGCTTCCTGTTAGGTCATGAGGGACGGGGGTTGGGGGGGGCAGGTATGCATGTGGGGCCCACGGAGATCAGGCTGTACCTGTAGGCGAGGCTCATTGTCATGGCTGAGGGGGCCCGGTGTCCAACTCCGAGCGACTCCCACAGCAGCCTGATCCACTAGCTGAACCCGTTCACGCCTGGCTTCCTTCTGTGGCTTGGCCCTCTGAGCTTCCCCTGCCCACCTACAGGATGGGCTGCCGGTGGCAGGTGGCGCGATGTCATGCTTTGTGTGGGGGTGGGCTCTGCAACCCAACTGCTGTGTGACTTTAGGCAAGTCACCTCTGTTCTTCGGGTTTCAGTTTTTTCCATTTAAAACTGAAATCTAAACAGGTTACACCATTGCTATAAACTTACTGTTGTCTGCAATACAAAAGCCTGAACATTCAAGGCCCATTGTGAATAAAAGCAGGGCAAGGGGTGAGTGTGCTGTGTGCATCATGGGGTGATGGGAGAGCTGAAAGGTTTCTGATAAGATTTTTAAAAAAAGATTTTATTTATTTTTAGAGAGAGGGGAAGGGAGGGAGAAATAGAGGGAGAGAAACATCAATGTGTGGTTGCCTCTCCCATGCTCCCTTCTGGGGACCCACCCTACAACCCAGGCATGTGCACTTACTGGGCATTGAACCAGCAACCCTTTGGTTTGCAGGCCGGCACTCAATCCACTGAGCCACACCAGCCAGGGCTAAAAACTTTTTATTTCAAATGGACATGAAAATGAGTGAATGATATAAGGAACAAGGTGAGCTTTTAAAAAACTTTTTATTATAGAAAAAATGTAAACAAGCAAAAATATAGAATAATATAATGGTGTGAATTTTAAAAAGAGACTGTCCTCTGTGGGGTCATTTCCAATCTCCTCCCCACAAATTCCCTGCTCTGGGCGCACCCCACACTTTCAGGCACACTCTGTTTCTTCTGCCTGGAATACCCTTTCCTCTGCTTATCCTTCACGATGCCACACACATGCCTGTGCAGCAGACAGTTCTGGGCTCTGTACACGTACGATCTCAGCGGTTCTCACACGTCAGTAGTGTGTTAGAATCAGTGGTCAGGCTTCTTACACCACAGCTTGCTGGGACCCACTCCCGAGCTTTTGATTCAGTAGGTTTGGGTAGCGCTCAAGAAGTTTTGCTTTTAACCAGCCCCTGGTATTTATTGGTGCTGCTTGCTGGTCTGGGTACCACACTTTGTGTTATTTTGTTTCATCTTCTAAATGAACTAGGTTGCCATCACTGTCTGTTTGGGGGGTACTCTTACTCGTTTTCAGCACAGGCCTAGATACATGCTGTTTGAACAGGTCAGTGGGGTCTGGTTTCATGTCCTTGGCATCAGGAAGGGAATCCTCCATGCATTTAGCTTTGCAAGGGGGGCTTGTCATCATTTTCCAGATGACAGCCTGGGGCTCAGAGAGGCTAAGTGACTTGTCCAAGGTGTCACAAGGCATTGGGGAGTTGCTGGCATTGAAGCAGGTCTCTCTGAAGCCAAGATGTTCCCCACCCTCTCAGGTGGAGATGCCATCCGGTTTCTGACCCAGGTGTCACTTCAGGAAACTCTGCCCTCAGTTTCAGAGCTCAGCGACGTCTGGGCGGTGTGTGCAGCCAGTTCCCCACAGAGCTGGCTGAGGTCCAGCTGCATCCCCGGGACCACAGGGCCTCAGACTCCCACTAAGTCTCCTGCTGCCCACGCTCCCACCGTGACCTGCAGCTCAATAAAGGCTGCACTGCAGGCAGCTGGGCTGGATGCCTTTGGCTCCTTGCCTCTGTGTTCCGTCCCCAGTGGCCTCACAGGAGCCCCGTGAGCATGACACAGCTGCTGCTGCTCATTGTGTCTCTCCTGGTCCTGGGTCACGTGCCACCAGGTAATATCACGTGTGTGTATGTGTGTGTGTGTGTGTGTGTGTATGAGACACAGGTGCTCAGCTCCTGGGAGACAGAGGTGCTCAACTCCTGGGAGACAGAGGAGGCCTAGCCCAGCATTTAAATTCTGGCCCTGTCACTGGCTTTCTGGGCAGGTGAGAGCAAGCTGTTAGATGAGCCTGCACCTTGGTTTCCTGAGCTTTACAATGGATTCATGCAACAAACATTCACTTGGGAAATATATACTGTGTGCCAGGCACTGTTAACAATTGATGGGGACCCAGTAGTGGAAGAAAGCAAGGTCCCTGCTTTCTTGGAGTTGATATTTTAGTTACTGGAGACAGAAAAGAACCAAATAAACATGATATTGCGGGTGGTCACAGTGCTCAGAAGAATAAAAGCAGGGCGAGGGGTGAGTGTGGCGTGTGCAGGGGGTGGTGGGAGAGCTGAAAGGCTTCTGAAAAGATTTTTTAAAGGTTTTATTTCAAATACACATGAAAGTAGAGAGAATAAGGGACAGACAAGGTGAGCTTTAAAAATACTTTTTATTATGGAAGAATAGAGAATAATGTAATGATGTGAGTGGTGAAAAGAAACCTCTTTATTAGAGAAAATTTCAAACCTAAATCAAAAGTAGTAGAGAACCCTACAGATGGATCTGTGGTCCAGTCTGTGACCAGCAGTCCCACCTGGGACCCCTGGGCTGCCCTATGTGGTCGGGAGGCTAACCTGGGACCCCTGGACCGTTCTGTGACCTGTAGTCTTCTTCTGCATGCTCTGCACAGGGAGAAGTGAATTCAAACGCTGCTGGAAGGGCCATGGAGCCTGCCGGACTTACTGCACAAGGCAAGAAGCCTACATGCACCTGTGCCCAGACGGCTCCCTCTGCTGCCTCCCCTATGGACTCAAGTCTCCGGTGCCCGCTAAGCCAGAGAAAGTGTAGCTGGTTCTGGGACTGGCACCCTTGCTCTCCAATAAAATATGTGCTGCTCCTCATCTCCTCTTGCTGTTTGCTCAATGCCCCTCTACTCACGAGTTCTCCTGGGGCTGGGGGGGGGGAGGGGGGGGCGGTCCAAGGTGTGGGGGAGATGGAGGGAGAGCTGGTGGAGGAAGTGAAGTGCCTGAAGAGAGTGGGTATTAATGACCATTGTAAATGGTTCCGGTCCTGCCTCTATCACTTTTGCTGTGTCTCCAACTCCCGAAAAATCGATCAATTTCCATCAGCCTCCCCAGTCTCCTCATCCATAAAATGGGAAATTATAATATCAGGAGATTAGGACTTTATAGAAGGTAGAGTTAACAATAGGAGTTAATTGTAATAATCATGAGAATTGATAATGAGTTAATTGTAGTAAGAATTGATAATAATAGAGCTAAAAACACATTTCTGGCATTGAAAATGAGATGCACAAGGCTTGGGAGGCAGACCCAATTAAGAGTGAAAGAATGTTTCTATGTTCCTTTATCTCCCACATCAGCATTTTAACAGCCTACACAGGTGGAAAGTAAGGATTTGATGAAAGCAAAGTTTTTGTATAAACAGGGAGGAGTGAGGGAGGGAAACTCAGCCTCTTCCAGGCCCGAGGACCTGTGGGAGCAGCGAGCCAGGGAGAGGTCACGAGCACAGCCGGGGAGGCAGCTAGGCAGGCAAGCACCCTGACTGCCCTGTGTCAGGACTGTGCTCGGCTGAAAAAATAGAAAACCCAGTTTGCAGGAACCTACTTTTCTCACTTAAAAAGAAGTCTGGAGGCAGGTAGCAAGCATATCAGGGCAAGTGTCTCTAGGGTCCTCTTGGATCTCATAACTTCAGGCCTCATGTAATTGTTTAAAGCAAGAAGTGGGGAGGGCTGGCACAGGCTAGCTTTTCACTTTGATCAAGGAGTGAAAGCTTGCCCTGGAAGCTCCCCCAGCGGACTTCCACTTACTTTCCATGGGCCAGAGTGTGGCACATGGCTACTCCTGGCATGAAGAAGGCTGGGAAAGAAAGTGTGTAGCTGCCCCAGCCTCCACCACAGACTTGAGCTTGGGAGGAAGGGCGTTGAGAACCCTCAGAGTTGGCCCCCCTCCTCCCTGGGATTGAGCCCAGACGGGGGCAGGTGCGGGGGACAATTTGAGAGGAATTCCGAGGGCAGAGGGGCTCATGTCCACTGTCCTTTGAGACTTTTTGGAGAAGTTTGGGGTTGCCTGGGAGTAAGAGAACAGACTCTGCATGGCCAGGTGGGGAAAGGAATGGTGAAGTTCAAAATACTTACCATCAGGAGGGACGATGAGCCTGGGGCTGGAGCAGAGTTTTGGAGGTGACCTGCTGTGCCAGGTGTTAACCCTTCAGTCTCTGTTATGAGAGGGACCTGGGCATATGCCAGAGGCATCTGGAACAGAGGAAGGGAGACCCAACGGGCTTGGGCCGTCACCCTTTGCCAGCCAGGAGGAAAGCATTCAATTATTTTAATAACAAAGTGTGCACCTGCCTATTAGTCCTGCTTCCGAACCTCCCTTAGATTCTGAAGTGGGGTGCAGACATTGAGCTGACAGCCAGGGCCCTGTTTTAGGGCCCAACCTGGTCGGGGTGAGGTGGTCACGCTGTCTGGAGCCTAGAAACAGGACAGGAGACAGGCGCAGAATCACAGAGACCTGACACGTGGTGACGTTTGTCTGGTATCTCCACTAGGCCTCAGTGAGTCCACAGGAGACCAGGCCAGCTCACCAGCAACCAGCCGTAGCTGCAAGCCAGTGACAGGCCCATGCCACCCGGATCCCGGCAGGTGCCAGCAGCACCTGACCACTGAACGTTCCCACCCTTACCCCAGCCTGCCTGCTGAAGGCAGGAAGGAGGCAGGAGGAATCTGAAAGACAGAGCAGTTACACCAGAGACCAAGTCTCTTTGAACTCAAGAAACCTCAAGAGAATATTTAACTTGTTGAATTAGACCAAGTTTTAAACTGGATTGAACTAAATTTAGCTCTGTCCCCTGACCCCTCCCCTCTCAGCTGTTTTACAGAAAGAGAAGAAGCTAGGTCTTCTTTGTGCAGTCTCAGACGTAGTTCGTAGTTCGAGGGAATTTGTGACCTTGCTGCAGGGAAGATGGTGATGATTTCCGGGACCGAGGAGTCAGACAGACTCAAGTTCACACTCCAGCTCCGCCACTTACAGGCCACAGGCCGTGCGGTCGGGGCCAGTCACTTCCTGTGTCCGATGTCGGGAATCTCAGCAGAATGGGCACAATGACAGTTCTCACTGGGGCGGCCGTGGGGCTGGGTGAGATCACCCGGGCTGTGTAAGTGTTCAGTGAGTGAAGTGCGCAACTGCTGCCACGTCTGAGCGAGAGGCGTGCCGCTAGCTTTCTGTGCGCGATTTTGGACTTGGAGAAAACCTGTGAGTAATACAAAGAATTCCCATAGACCTTTCATCCAGTTTTTCCAAATACTGACATGTTACATGATCATTTCTTTTACATGACCATATCTCTCTCTTTCTGGGCGCGCGCACACACACACACACACACACACACACACACATAAACAAATATTGCAGACATGATCCCTTCATAACTAAATACTTCAGTAGTTTTTCCTGAACACAAAGGCATTTTAAAAAATAGAACCCCAGTGCAATGATAAAAATCAGGACATTAACACTGACAAAATTCTATTGTCTAATCTTTAGATCTTACTCAGCTTCTACCAGCTATTCTGACGAAGTCCTTCAGGGCAAAAGAAAACCCCCGGGTCAAGCCTCCCATCCAGTGGCTGCATCTCTTTGATCTCTTTCCCTCTCAAAGGGTTCTTCTGTCTTTCATGACATTGACATTTGCGAGGGGCCCAGGCCAGTGATTTTGTGGAATGTCCCCCAGTGTGAGCTTGTCTGATGTCTCCTCGTGATCCGATTCACATATGCGTTTCGGGCGGGATACTACAGAAGCGAGGCCGTGTCCCCCTTAGGGCATCATGTCCGAGCAGCCACTGTCCTTCTGAGGGCAGAGCCAAGACAACCCCGACCAGACAGTTTTCTGAAGTGTAAGCCTCACATGTGAAGGGTGGTTTCCTCCCACTGCCCTAGCAGACCCTCCCCTAAGTCTACAGCCAACCTCCGAAGCCATAAGGCTGTCTGTAACAGGCCAGCAAGGCAAGGCAATTCTAGGTTGGAAGGTTCCTCAAGATACTTCACAGATCAGCCTTCCGAGCCCAGAGAGGGAAAGTGGCTTGTCCAAGGCCACCGAGTTCCTGAGACACAGAGCCAGGACTTGGCCTTACATCTTTGGGTCTCAGGTCAAGGCTTGTTCTGAGGTATAACAATAGTCTCGCGTCGGGAGGACAGGGGAAGCTTTGGGAGAGAGAGAGCTCCCTGGCACGGGGGTGCAGGACGCTGGAGGAGGGACTTTTGCTCTGCAGAGGGGCTCAGAAGTCCTGTTTCAGGACGAGTCGGTGAATAGCTGAGCTAGTAATAATAATCCTATCAGTTAGAGTTTAGTAAGTGCTAACTGCTTTATGCATATCATCTCACCTATTATTCACCTATGTGTGGGTGAGTAATAGGTATTACTCACCTATTACTTGGTCTAACTCAACAAGTTAAATAACATACACTATATTACTCATAGTATAAGGTAGCACTATTACATTACTACAATGTAATAATATTATCCCCTCCTTTTCCAGAACGCAACTGAAGTTTTTAGTTGAGTGAGTTGCCTCGATCATACACCCAGTAAGTGGGGGCACAGGGGTGCCACTGCTGTCCCTGGGCACTTGATTTTGTCTTCCAGACTCACCTTTGCTTTAAAATAACATTTTTCCTCATTTTAAAAATAATCCACATTCACTGGAGAGAGAAAAGTTAGAAAACAGAGAAACACAACTAAGAAAGCAAAAACCATCAGTCCTTTCACTATACACACGTGCCCACAGATAAAAAATTATGTGAAATGTCATCAATAAAATGGGATCAAGCTGTATATATTTTTGTGACTTGCAAATAAAATGAAATCCAACTGTATACGTTTTGTATACTTCTTCCAACACAAGATTTTCAGCTCTAAAATATCTCTTGGAATTTCTTTTAAAGTTTCCAATTGTTATTACTTGAGTAATACATTTAGAACACATTGTGCAGAACAAAATACAAATAAGCTTCAAAATATTCACCACTGTTTTATAATTCCTGTTAGCTTTTAGTACATATTTGTCAGGATGGATCTATCCATCTCTAGCTCTAATCTCTAATTATACAGTTGTGCAATTAAAAATTATAAAATTATGCAATGAATAATTGCACAATTAAATATACAGTTGACTCTTAACATGGTTTGACCTGCACAGATCCACTTATATGTGGATTCTTATTTTTATTTATTTTTAAAAAGATTTTTTTTATTTTTGGAGGGGGGGAAGGGAGGGAAAAAGAGAGGGTGAGAAACATCGATGTGAGAGAGAAACATCGATCAGTTGCCTCTCGTTCATGCCCCCAACCTGGAACCAAATCTGCAACCCAGGCATTTGCCCTGACCGGGAATCGAACCAGTGACGTTTAGTTTTGTGGGGTGGTGCCCAACCAACTGAGCCCCAACAGTCAGGGCAATGCGTGGATTTTTGAAAATAATGTAAATATACTTTTTCTTCCTTATGATTGTCTTAATAACATTTTTCCTAGCTTACTTTATGCATGAATACAGTATATAATATCTACAACATACAAAAGATGTATTGATTGAATATTTATGTTGTAGGTAAGACTTCTGGCAAACAGTAGGCTACTAACAGTTAAATTTTGGGGGTGTCAATGATTGCAGTAAATTTTTGACTGAACTTTTGACTGTGTATGTATATATAGATATACTTTAAACTTACAAATGTGTGTGTATGTATAATATATCTACATGGATATAGGTATCTATATTTATACATAGATATACTCATATATAGATATCTCTCTAGAGACATATTATAT